ACTTTCCTTATGTGAAGGACTTTGAGCTGCTTGTCGTATGCAGTGTGATAGCTACGTGTAATCAGGTCTCAGGGGCCTGCCTTCACCCTAAGTCGGCTGGGATAGACTCCAGTTCCCCCATGAGCGTAGTGAGGATTAAGCGGTGTATAGATAATGGATGGATGGATAGTATTAACAACAAACCGTAAATATCTTTCAGTCAATTACAAAAGCACATCTCACTGTACAGTGATATATTTCATGTCCTATGTTGCAGATGGTCTACTTGCTTGTGGTTTTTGCGACCTATTCTTTTTGTACAAAGTGCACCACTTTGCTGTCTGTGGCCGAGCACAAGGACAAATGTGGCATCTCCGGCGTTGTTGTGGTGGTTTTTCAGCTAAAGTGGCTCTGATTCTGAACAAACTGAAGACATATAGAGTTTAGTGTTTTATAGGAGCGTCTGTATTGGTGAGATGCTCTGGCTCAGGTTTGTGGGAGCAGGACTGGGGCAGTTGAGATATGAGATTCCCTCATCATTCCCAACTTATTTCTGCGGGACGTTTGTTGTGTGGCTGTCGTGTCCCTAAAATCGTGACCCACTACTTTATTTATTCATCTGCAGAAGGTCAACTGTGATTTGCCCCTTTTAAAGTTACTGCATGACACTGTTAATGCAAACTCAACACTCCCTGCAGCTGTTTCAACTGTAAAGCGCTTTGATGCTTCAGTGGACAGAAACCTTTCCTATTATACAGGACTTTTATTGTGAAACATTTGCAGACGTACCATATGCAACAACAGCCAGATGGGATTAAAGGACGACAGTTGGCATAAACACACACACACACACACACACACACACACACACAGCGACTGAAATAAGACAATAATACTGTGGATGAGTAATCCACAACAACAAAGTGTTGAAAATAGCAGAACTATATTGCTGAATTTATTCAATTAAAACAGTAGGAATGTTTAACTGGCACGTACATCACATGGACTTTATTGAACTAACCAGGCCCTAGAGATTATCTAAAAATGATGCCATTTATTACTGTGTCACCAGATTAATCTTTAAGATGCATCGCCTGAAAAGCAGGTTAAAGCCAACAACCTGAGAGTTTGTTTAACGGATCAAACTTTCAGCACAATCTGTTTTTCTCTCTGTGCAAACACCAGAGCTTTCCGATCAATCGGTCTTTAGCACTACACACAATCTAAGAACAAAGACAAATTCATTTCTCTTCGAGGAACAATCGAGCGGCGTCTGCAGCGCTAAAAGCTATACGTGAAATCAGTAGGTACCCACCATAATTCAGCAATTTGTGTTTAGTTGAGCACGTTGAGAACGGGCCGAGAGCACAGCTGTGCCTTAGACGAGCGTTTGGAAAACACAAACCCTTTACACGCACAAGTTTTAGTATCTGCAGAAATTAATAATTGCCTCCCACGCCGTCCAGTTGTCATTTCGAGAGCGCAGCCACAAAACAAACAGTCTGTACGTTCGTGTTGGTGTGTGAGTTTGTGTGGGGACATGTGGGCTGGTTCACTGCAGCGTGTATAGGAAGAACAGCTTGAAGGAGAGCATGAGATTTAATTGGAGACACAAAGTCTCTAATTACAGCAAGCAATGCTTCCTGATGACAGACACACACAGCAAACCTTTGCTTTAATTGGCTTGCAGCAGAAGTAAATAAAACAAAGTATTGTTAATATTTTCCCCCCAGAAAGAACGACAGGGCTACTGATGCCCTCAAGGCCATTTTAACACGTTGCTTATGTTGAACGCTGTTATGTGGGCTGAAAACAAACCAAAAGTATCTGATCAAAAAGTGATAAGAGTTTGTTCTGGTTGTAGAATAAGTCCCAGAAACAGGAGGCCACATGTAGCAGAGCCGTTGCATCCCCAATAGACTGTTTCCCTCCCACCATGCAACTCGCCTTCAAATACAAGAACTAATAACTGCTTGAGTTCTTTCATTACAACACTGCACTCACTTTTATTCCCTTTGATAAGATATATTCACTGATGATGTTGTGGTTTTGATTTTAAGTTTTGGTGTTTTCTGGTTCCAAATCCTGTATTTGAAAGGCTCAAAACAGATCAAACAGGTTCTGCATTGGTATAAACACCCAAAGAGCAACGTGACCCAGGTTTTGAAGTGCTATGCATCAACATGTCCCACAAGATCCTCCTCTCCCGAGCAAATACAACTACTTCATGAGACCTTTACAGGAATCAGCCACAACATTAAAACCTCTAACAGGTGAACAGTGATTGTCCTGTTACATTGCGATGCTCTGCTTGTCAGACTTTCGGTACTGGCACACACCACTCAAACATTGTTCTAGGCCGAGCGCACACACCCCAGTAATGCCACTACCCAATCACATTAGCCTCCCTAAGCAGGATAGTTTCCTGTGACACCTCAAAAACTATT